ACGCCCGTCCTGGAGGCTCTGGGTGACGGGGAATTCGTCAAGTGCCTCCATTCCGTGGGGTGCCCCTTGCCTTTAAAAAGTAAGCACATTGTTTCAGAATCAAATGCTAGAATTTCTAAACGTAAGCCTAGCCTTAAACCCCCGGCGCGTCCTCCAGGCCCTCGGCGGGTGGGGCCACGCTGACCCGCTGTGTCCTCCGCAGAGCCGCTGGTGAACAACTGGGCCTGCAACCCAGAGCAGACGCTTATCGCCCACCTGCCCGACCGCAGGGAGATCATCTCCTTCGGGAGCGGCTACGGCGGCAACTCGCTGTTGGGGAAGAAGTGCTTCGCGCTCAGGATGGCCAGCCGGCTGGCCAAGGAGGAGGGGTGGCTGGCCGAGCACATGCTGGTAAGATGCAGGGAATTATGAGTGAGCAGGGTCGGGGCAGGGGCCGGCACAGGGGCAGGTGCTGGCCAATACAGATGGCCTTCCAGTGCCCACCAGGCCAGGCCCAGGACACCCAGGCCAGACAGATTCGGAAATGCCATCAATAGTTATGAATGACTAGCGGCTGCTCCTTTTGAAGGACGCCAAACACAGCCAGGCCCGTAGGCGCCATTATTCAAAACATTTCTTTGGAAACTTGAAGAGATAGAAGCTGGGGACCCACCCTTCGGGGGCTTCTAGGCACACCCCGAGGGTGAGGCTGAAGCACGGGCTGGGAAGCAAAGGAAGGAAAGCCTCAGGAGGAACGTTGTCTCTGCAGATCCTGGGCATAACCAGCCCCCAGGGCCAGAAGAAGTACTTCGCGGCCGCGTTCCCCAGCGCCTGCGGGAAGACCAACCTGGCCATGATGAACCCCAGCCTCCCGGGCTGGAAGGTCGAGTGTGTAGGCGACGACATCGCCTGGATGAAGTTCGACCAGCAAGGTGACTCTCAGGCCCACCTGTTGCTCACAGTGGACTTTTGCTTTTCAAACATGCCAAGGGCCCCTGAGCTCACACTGTCCGGATTTTTAATTTAGTGATTTCAGATCTTGCAAAGTCTTAGAAATATGTATTCTCTATAAGCAGTCTTTCACTTACTATCAAATCTGGGTTGAAATGGGACCCTATACGGCTGTTTGTTTATAGAATACATATGTTAAAATAGGATTGATGGAAAACTGAGGGGGAGGAGAGCGTTGTAAATATAATTGCTTGGGTGAGAAAAGAGAAATACATTCTAAGGAGGAGGGGAAAAAAGATTCGAGAATTTGGTGCAAAAACGAGCCTGGCAAGGTCTCAGAGCTGAGGTATGCTTTGCTTGGCGCTCACTTTGATGTTTCGGGTTTAAAACTCTCCAGGTAACTTAAGGGCCATCAACCCAGAAAATGGATTTTTTGGTGTTGCTCCCGGAACCTCTGTGAAGACCAACCCCAACGCCATCAAGACCATCCAGAGGAACACCATCTTCACCAATGTGGCCGAGACCAGCGACGGCGGCGTCTACTGGGAGGGCATCGACCAGCCGCTGGCCGCTGGGGTCAAGGTCACCTCATGGAAGAACAAGGACTGGACTCCTGAGGACGGTGAGCCCGCCGGAGGCCCCGCTGCCCCCAACCCCATTGGGGTGCTCTGTGTTTGTTCTGAACACTCAGGGGCCTCTCCTCTCTGCCTGTTGTAGGGGAACCTTGTGCCCACCCCAACTCGCGGTTCTGCACCCCCGCCAGCCAGTGCCCCATCATTGACCCTGCCTGGGAGGCTCCGGAGGGCGTGCCCATCGAGGGCATCATCTTCGGAGGGCGCCGGCCTGCTGGTGAGGCTCCCTGCACCCCGGCTGGGCGGGTCTGTGGAATCGCTCCTTTCCCATGGCCGTGTCAGAGGGTGCCCTCGAGGCTTCCTTTCCCAGCCAGCATCTGGGATGACTGGCAGGCCCACAGGTAGAAGCCCCTCTGGCCACTAGAGGCTTTCAGGACCCTCAACCTGACGGAGCTTTATCCGTTTCCTTTGGTTGTGGGCCTCGATGGTGGCGCTGTGGCTCTGGGAACACACTGTGAGCAGAATAAGGAAGATGCTGCTCTGCCTTCTTTCCATTTGTGAGACGACAGTGCCGGCCGAAGGGTCTGAGTGTCCAAGCGTTGAAGGGACATCTTTTCTTTCCTGCTACAGGTGTCCCTCTCGTCTATGAAGCTCTCAGCTGGCAGCATGGAGTGTTTGTGGGGGCGGCCATGAGGTCCGAGGCCACGGCGGCCGCCGAGCACAAAGGTAAATCCAAGTCAAAATCTGCAGCCACAGGGACAGGGTCGGCGGGCTCTCTCCCGTCTCTGTGTCTCTCTTCCTGTCTCTGTGTTCCTCTATGTTTCTCTCTCTTGTGTTTGTTTCTATGTCTCTGTGTCTCTCCTGTTTCTGTCTGTCTGTCTGTCTCTTCTGTCTTTGTTTCTATGTCTCTGCGTCTCTCTCTGTCTCTGTCTCTCTGTCTCTGTCTGCCTCTGTGTCTGTGTCCCTCCGTCTCTCTCCATGTGGAGAGAGGAGCCGAGCATGCTGATGTCAGCAATCAGCACTGTCCTATGGGGGCCTCACTGACCAACAGGGCCCCTCTGTGTTAACAGGCAAAGTCATCATGCACGACCCCTTTGCCATGCGGCCCTTCTTTGGCTACAACTTTGGCAAGTACCTGGCCCACTGGCTCAGCATGGCCCAGCGCCCCGCAGCCAAGCTGCCCAAGATCTTCCACGTCAACTGGTTCCGGAAGGACAAGGACGGCAAGTTCCTCTGGCCCGGGTTTGGAGAGAACTCCCGGGTGCTGGAGTGGATGTTCAACCGGATCAACGGGAAAGGCGGCGCCAAGCTCACGGCCATCGGCTACATCCCCACAGAGGAGGCCCTGAATCTGAGAGGCCTGGGGAACGTCAACACGAAGGAGCTCTTCGACATCTCCCGGGAGTTCTGGGAGAAGGAGGCGGAGGACATTCAGGCCTACCTGGAGGAGCAAGTGAACGCCGACCTCCCCCACGAAATCGAGAGGGAGGTCCAGGCACTGAAGCAGAGAGTCAGCCAGATGTAAGGAGAGCGGCGGCCGCACCCTCCACACCCCCTTCCAGTCCGCGAGGTGTGCGGGAGCAAGAGCCGGGCTTCCCGACCCGCTGCTGCCTGCCACCCACAGTGACCACACCCATGAGCCTTTCCGACAGACACACTTTAATTGTTCAGATACGACCACAGGGTACCGGCTAGTAACTAACGAGATTGGGGAGGGAAATCTTAGCACGTCCCCCAAATTCACGATTCCGTACACATTTGCTCAATCTTCAGGACACTCAGGCATTTAGTCATTGTCACTGTAGCTATCAGTTAGCAGGAATGCACAGAGAACAATACTTGAGCTGTATATATGTGTGTGTGTGTGTGTGTGTGTGTGTGTGGTGTGTGCTCGTGCATGTGTGTGTGTGTATGTACTGTTATCTAAAATGTATTTAATACCTTTGGAAAAAATCTTGGGCAAGATTACCTACTAGTTGTTGCTAGAAAGAAATGTCGCTTTATTATTAATATTTGTGTTTAAATTATTTTTATATACAGTTGTTCCTTACCTTTGCATAATTTCACCTTTTCTCTGAACACGTCTTGGAAAATTACAAAATAAACTTTTATAGAAAGGTGGATTTGTCTGCTTGGTTTTTAAAAAATTGAACCACCAAGGAGAGGGGACTCAAATCTCAAATCCCCTCCAAAGCACATGGGGACATCAGGATCCCCCATAAAGAGGGGTGATCTGGGGGCTGGAGGGAGCAGAGAATGCCACCCAGAAGGGACACGGCACCACGCTGGGGCTTTTCTGAATCAACCACTGGGCAGTGTCTGAAGGCACTAGTTAGTGGCCTGTAACACTTCCGCAAGCCTGTAGAGGTGGAGGTGGGTCTCGTGTACCTGGAACGGGAGTGTTTAAAATGTGCTTTTTGACAAAAATGTGGGTCTGGAGGCATGGCCTCCCACGAGAATGATACCGGAGCCAGTTTCACAGGCTTGTGAAATAAACTCTTATCTGACCAGGGCTTTTCTCAATGTCATGCCCAGGGAAGGAGAGGAGAGAGGAAGGGGTCCCTCAGCAGGAGCAGCCAAGGGTGTCTCTGTGGCGCAAGCATTGCCTGAGCCCTGGGCACACCAAGCATGGCCTCAGCAGTGGGTGTGCAGTGCTGCCCCCTGTCGGCCTCATGCCCCTGGCCCTCTGCTCCTAGCATTTGCAGGGTGCTGGGGAGCAACCCAGACCAGCCGCGGACGTGGCCTGGAGCATGACTTCCTCCGGTAGTTTCCTTCCTGGGCCCCACAGTTCGGGCGGCGTTGTCCTGCCAGGTTAATCACACCTTGCTTTCCTTTCACACACCTGCTCATCCCCCCAAACCGCCTTGCACCCTGCAGTGGCTCCAGTGGACGGTGCAGCCGAGATCGCCCCGATTTATAGATGGGAGCTGAGGCCAGGAGTGTCCCCTGGGGCTGGGAAATAGCAAGCAGGGTTTTCTTTCCCTAAAGGAGCAGAGAGCAGACCCAGCTCTCCTGACAGGGTCAGTTCTAATACCAGGACCACTGGGCCGGGGGGGTAGGGTCGGAGGAACCACACTGAATAGAATGCAAAGGTATTACTTTAAGTCGGTGGCTTTCCAATGGATTCTACTTTTCTCTGCGCAAGCCTGGTTTCGCATGTGCTCTCGCTCAGAAACCGAATGTCCAAGGAAACAAACCCGGGGGCAGCCCACCTGGCCGACAGGGGAGAGTGAGGACCAGGCCATAGTTCCTTGGACTTCCAAGAGGGGCTTCCAGGACCGAGTTTGGGCACCATTATTGAAATGCACGCCCCGGGCCCGTGTCCTAATCTAGGCCCTCAGCAGGTTTTGTCCCTTTGCAGGCAAAGCTGGCCATCTTGGGATTCCTTAGGCTCCCACCCAGCATCACCCACTCACCCAGCAGACTGTTGTATGACCATGTTGCCACCAGGCCATGAAAGCCTGGAGGACAGCCTAGAGGAGGTGCCTTAAACAGAAATGAGTTTTCAAAGGACCCAAAGGACCCAACACTTGCCACTGATTGGCCCCTGACTTAGTTTCCCAAAACTGTGCTCCCTTGTCTGCCTGTCTAGCTCCAAGCCCTGGTCTCTGTGTGTGAGTTATCAGGACATATAGCGTTGCCTGCAGTGCAGTTTGCAGAGGCCACTCTAGGTCCTGGGTGGGTGAGTGGCCCTTGGTTGGGAGAATGAAAACCCAGCGTCCTGATTCCTGGTCAGCCCTCTCCACGTGACCTCAAACCAACATTGGGACTGACGTCTTCCATGCGAAGCCACGTAGGAGCTGCCCCTGACCTCCACGGTGCCCGGAGCTGCGCTGGAGTCTGGGTTAAAGGCCAGAGCACAGTAGGTACAAGGCAAATATTGGACCAGGACAACAAATCTGCCCTGTGCTCACTGGAGCATCGGGGAGCCTGGGGGTGGGGGTGGGTGGGTGGTGGGCCCTCTCCCTTCTCTCTCTCGCTCCTCGGGCCCATCCTAACCCAGAATCCCGGTCTGGGTGCCACACGCATGTTCCTTTTGGAGCCTTAAGACCACAGGGCACGGGCACCGGAGGCTCATGGCCTGCCCCCGCCAGAGGCCCGAGCCAGAGCGGTGACCGCTGCCTTGTCGCCACTGTCATCAGTCGCACCAACAGGGCACCAGGTGAGGGCATCTGAGGGAAAGGGCTGGCCACCTGCTTCCTCCCCCTGCCCCTCCCTCCCCGGGGGGTAGTAAACACTGGTGACCTTGGGCACATTCCGGCTCTGCCTCTGGCCAGCAGGGTCACCGGAGCGACTCCTACCGGGACCGGCGGTGGTAATGTCCCTGCCGGGTCCCACGAGGATGCGGGGCAACGGCCCAGCCCAGCGCAGACCCCGGGTCTCCCCCTCCGGCAGTGGTGGGTGCTCAGGTGACCACACAGGCTCCTGCCTCAGCTTCCCTGGCTGGAAGATGGGTGTAGGAACCGTGCATGAGGGTGCTGGAAAGATCCAGTGAGATGGCGCATGTACGGGACCGGACACAGTGGGGCCTCGAGGACAGCAATGCTGTTACTTTTCTCCGGGCCTTCAGTGTAGCTGTGATGGTGCAACATCAGGGTCCAACATTCAGTGTGTGTGTGTGGGGGGGGAATGGTGGGCTGGGGCGGGGAGAGGCTGCAATCACCCCACCGCCCTGCTGGGGACCCGCTGCCCCAGCCCCCTGACACCCCAGCTTATCCAACATCCATCCCAGGTCCTTTCCCGGGCCCCCAGACTTTCCCACACAGCGGAGGGGTTCCAGACTGGCTCTGGGTCATCTCCGCGTGGTCACTGCCCCATCGGTGGTTAAATATTTTGAATGTCACTCCTGTCCACCCCTCCCCAATGCCTTGATGTCACACAAGCCACCCCATCCCACACTGAACTTTGCTGCAATCGGGGGTGGTGGATGGGGCGGGGGGGCAGAATGCCCTTGGACTGATAAAGTCCGAGGCTACGACCTCACCCCTAGGAAATGGATAGAGTTCCCTCCGTGGGTGAAGTGGGGCTTGGGATGGAGACGCGGTTCAGAGGGGAACAAGCCTGTGCCTTTTCTGCAGTTCTCAAGTTCTGCCTGAGTTTTCCTGTCTGGCTCGCGCAGGAAGCTGAACCCCTAGGGGTCCGGGCAGAGGCCCGCCTGCGCTCTTGCTGAAGACCAGGGACGCTGCCAGATGACAGGAAGACAGCGGCAGGACAGACGGACGGGGATCTGACAGTCACAGAGCTGCTTGCTGCTCCCCCGCACGCGGGGCTGAGCCCAGAGGTTTCTCTGATGCTGCGGAGCTGGGCTTTGGGGCCGCCACAGAGGAGCAGCGGACGCCATTGATCCTCAGTGGCCAGGCGGGAACAAGAACACCGCGGCCTGGCTGACACCTGCCTCGTCCCTCCCTGACGCGAGCTCCCGGGGCTCGCTTGTCTGCCACCTGCCTGCACAGCCGGGCCCCCTGGCGATGGGATGTAAATGTATGAATCAGCCAGGCAGCCCCAGCGGCAGAACCTTTCTCTAGGCGAAGCAATTTGCAGCAAAATATGCTGTAAATATTTGCTCAGCTCAGGAAAATGACTTTAATTGCATAATTAAACTTGTTGTCAATGCTGCTTCCGGACAAAATGACTGGGGAGAAGCTGGGACCACAGCTGGCCCTCTGAGATTGTGGAATAGAGGGGCTGTTTACAAAGACTGCCCTGGCCCTGTCTTTCCTCCCTGAAATGGGGGTTTTGAGATCAGTCAGGGGGGAAGGAGGAAGGGGCTCAGAGAGAGGAGAGAGGGGAAAAGTTCCCCAAATCAGAGAACCAGCCGCAAAGGGACCCCCAGGCCCTGGGGCAGAACTGCCCCTGAGTTTTCCGAATGCCCTGTGCACACCCCACCTCCCGTGGGTCACGGGTAACTTGAGCAGATAACCCCTCGCTGAAGAAGAACGCAATCAGTAGGTTGAAAGAAACTTGCTTTAGAAGAAAACATTGCATTCCAGCCATTAATGAAAAGCCAGGATTCCTTGATAAGGTGGTTACCACACAAACACAGCGCGTAGCCAGGCCCAGAAGGCCGGCCACAGGCTGGCAAACCCACAAAAAGACGGGTGGTCCCCGGGGCCCGGGGAAGTGGCACCGGGAGTGACTGCTGATGGAGCAGGGCTACTTTTTGGGGTGATGACATGTTCTAAAACTAGATTGTGGCAAAGGCTGCTCATTCCTGTGACTATATTAAAAACCACCGAATTGTACGTTTTAATTGGGTGAATTTTATGGTATGTCAATGACAGCTCCATCAAGTAGTTTTACAAAAGAATAAAATGGAAAACAAAATTGCCTCTCAGCTTGCATTAGAAGCCAGCTGTTTACCGAAGGCTCTGAGCTGGGGGCCTGCACCCATCTTGTCAAACAACAGAGGAGCACAGACGAGGGCGGCACTGGGGCGGGCAGAGAGACCAGGAGGACTCGGAGGAAGGGCACTGACTTTCTCATTGTGGGGATCCATGTCAAGGCCCATGAACATCTCCAAATGGTCACTGAGCATTTTAAAAATCATCTCCCCCCACCTCCCGAGGAGAAACAGGCCAGGACAGAAACCTGCAAACAATCCTGAGGCCAGCAGGTGGCAGCACTGAGACTTCCAGGCCCTCAAACTCCAGGCGGATGCTCATCAGCACTGAGTCCATGTCAGGACCCAGGTCGGGGCCAGGGACCTCCCCCAGCTCCGACAAGAGGAGGGAGGGTTTGCTCATGTCACCCCGCAGCAGAGGGGCTGGACCAGGGGCTCCAGCCACGCAGGCGCCCACTTTCCTTCTCTCCCCTCCCTGGTAGCAGAAGCCTGTGGAATGGAGGCTGGGTTATGGAGCGAGTACCCACTGCAGCCACTAGACTCCCGGTGTGGCCCGAGCCTCAGTTTCCCCAGCTGCACAGGAGAGGCTTGCCTTGCCCCCCAGAGGTCCTCCCACCTCTAACCTGCCCTGAAGTCGGAGCCCCGTGGCTCTTCAGTGGGCCCTTAGAATTGGTACTTAGTGACCCCGGGTCCAGGTGTGGGGGGAGTGACAAGACAGACAGCGTGGGGTGGGCTGCCTTCAGGGCCATGAGCACCGTCCACTCCCAAATAGTTCACCTGGAGAGCATCGCATGCCGGCCACCCACCCCCTGACGCCCCACTCCCTGCTTGTTCCAGCGATGACACCATCTGCCCCTCATGTACAGCTGAGCTCCTCCAACCCGAGGACCCCGGGAAGGGAGGCTGGAACCGAAGACTCAAACTCAGGGGCAGGCCTGCAGGTCCCCGACCCTCCGCCC